GACACCAAGCTACAACACGAGGTAAACAATCTAACTAGTTTTATGATTCAGTTATCAAATTTTGTATGCTAGTTTAGGCTTCATACTTTGGAAAACAATTTTGCATGTATAACTAGAGAAAACATAGATCCAAAGCATTAGGGTTGTATGTGCACCTTAAGGTTGTTATAGTGCTCAAAACCCTACAGCAGTATCAGAGGCTAGGGTTGTTTTATGTTATATTGTTGCATTGCTAATTGTTTAAAGTTGAAGCAAACTGAAAATTGCATTATGACAGACTGGACTCGCCGAGTTCATGATGAACTCGACGAGTCCATTAACTGACTCAACGAGTCTGATAGTCTGTTGGCATAATTACTTGTAAAAATTTTAATTGATATTATTTTGTAAATTTTAAGATAATTGTTGGTTAATATGATAAACAAAATTACTTGTAAATTGTTGATTTGATATTATCGTGTTTTATGAGTTTGGTTAGATCAATCCTAGATTATATGATACTTTTATTTGTTAAAATTGATTTGAATGTTTTTAATGACTTTCATAACTTGTCCTCAAGTTATGGAGCATGAAAAGTCTCATCCATTAAAATGACATTAAACTCATAAGTTATGGAAATAAAGAGTTTTGAAGAGTTTCAAAACTTGTCCTCACGTTTTGGAATTTGTAAAGTCTCACTAATGAAACATTTAATTCCAAACCCTAGAATTTTAAAAGTTAAAATTCAACTCTTATACTATTATCATTTTAAAATTTGATACTTATATATATATATATATATATATATATATATATATTATATATATATACAAAACAAGTCAGTCTTACCGTTAGTAGGCCTCATTCATGAAGCCGGTCTATAAGGGGGTATAAGGTTACTGTCTATAAAATGGTGGTTTAATGGGTGTCCACTCTCACCCACCGCTTTCTTGACTGATGGAGGGTCGTTAGCCGAACGAGTAGGATTGAACATTAATTCTCGTTAAAAGTATAATGATAATTATAAAGTAACTAAATGTTTTATTAATTTACACAATCTTAGTTACTTTAGGAAAAATGTGAAAATGATGCTATTCTATGAAATTGCACTTTGTGCCTTGTCAATTCGTTAATAGAGCGTGTGTGGTTAACCGACACATTAACTTAGACTAGTAAAGGTGGAAAAGGGTAGCTTGATGTTTGTCATAGATCAATGGAGCGTGTGTGGTTAACTGACACATTGATTAGGCGATAAATGACATCGAGTATACCAAGCATATTTGCATGGTTATTCACACCTTGTTTGTGTTCCTCGGCATCCCAGTCACAAACTTGAAGAGCATAATCGAGATTTAAACATGTAATTGAAAACTTCAATGAATCTCATAGGAATCTAGGAGTTTTAGTTCATTTAAAACCTAATACTCAATTTCGTATTTCATGGTGAATATTGGTAAATCGTCATTTACATACCTTCAAATATTTTACAATTGGATTGCGGCATCACTCTTCCGTATTGTGAAATATTGTGTTGGGTCCTAGCCTTAATATTTTATTTGGGTGTTATATTAAGGATTCTTATCTAATCTAAACTTTTTCTTTTTTCAAATGTCTACCCTAACACTTCTGGCTCAAACCCTTTTGGCTCTGTCTCCCTCATGAACTTGTGTGGGAGAGTTATCTTTGGTGGTTCGAATTTCAATGATTGGATTCGAAACATTAGAATGGTTACTCGTTACGAGGATAAGGAATATGTCCTCGATAAAGAGCTGAAGTAGACTGATGAGTCCACTGCTACTCCTGAGGAAATCCCTGGATATAGGACTCATGAGAAGGATGCCACAAATGTGTCTTGTATCATGTTGGCCACTATGCCGACTGAACTCCAAAAGTTCCATGAAGACTACTACCCTTTCGAGATGCACCAAGACTTGATGGAAAGATATCATCAAAGTGCTCGTCAAGAAAGGTATGAAATTACTGCCTCCATGATAACAACAAAGATGAAGGATGGAGAGTCCATCACGGCCCACTTACAGAAAATACAAAGGTTTGTGGACCACTTGCTGAATTTGAATGTCAATTTTGATGAAGATGGTCATAGATATCATTCTACACTCTTTACATCCCTGTTATGATCAGTTCTATATGACCTATCATGTGAACAATGATGAGTTCACTCTTAGCAAGCTTTAAGGCCCTTTGAGAACTATTGAAAGTAGTCTAAGAGGAAAATATGTTATATCTACTCCTACAACTACCGTTGTTGCCCCAGTCCTGGCAATTGGATATGGGAAAGGGAAAAAGAGGAAGGCTCCTTCTAAGAGCCGTAAGGTAAAGTCTCATGATGGATCCTCTTCTAATGGGACCAAAGTTGGTTCTGCTGATCCCTCTACCAATCTGAAAGAATCAGAGTGTTTCTATTGTCATGATAAAGGGCACTGGAAGCGAAGATGGACCAAATACTTGCAGGGTGTTAAGGATGGAAAGGTTAAGCCCACCCATGCAGGTATTTATACTATTCTATATAATCACCCATCACATTCTTGTTATTGGGTCCTTGATACAAGTTGTGGTTTCCACATTTTTTCTGATTTGCATGGACTAAAAAGAAGTAGGGATGTGGAGCACGGGAAGATGAATCTGATCATGGGGAATAGGAAAATATATCCGGTCACCAAGATTGGAGTTTATTATTTATTGCTTAGTAGTGGATTATAATTAGTTTTGAATAATTGTTGCTACTCGTCCGATATGATGAGAAATATTATTTCCTTTCATGGTTTGTACGAAGAAGGTTTTAGATTCTCATTTGATAATGAAACTGGTTCTATTAATATTTTTTATAATGGTGTATTTTATTTTAAAGCATTTCCTTGTAACGGTCCAAATGAAACTGTGATGGTTGTGGACAACTTAAGATATAATGTGTTACACATTGATCCGTCCAATAGTTTGGACAATGCATGCTTGTGGCATTATCGTCTTGGACATGTCAACAAGAAGCGCATATGCCAACTCCAAAAGGCTGGTGTGTTGGAGTCATTCGACTTAAGGTCGGGTGACACTTGCAAATCTTGTTTGCTTGGAAAGATGACCAAGTCACCCTTCACCGGTACTTGTGAAAGGGGTGAGGGTTTGTTGGATCTCATACACACCGATGTGTGTGGACCCTTCAGAACCGACACAAGGGATGCTAACTGCTTCTTTGTGACTTTTACTGATGATTACAGCAAATATGGCTATATCTACTTAATCAAGCATAAGTCAAAAACCTTTGAAAAGTTCAAAGAGTTTAAACAAGAAATAGAGAATCAGCTGGGCAGGAAGATAAAGATGTTCCGATCCGATTGAGGTGGTGAGTATCTTAGTATCGAGTTCCTATACTATCTTAAGGAATGTGTAATTATTTCACAATTGACGCCACCCAGGACACCATAGCTTAATGGTGTGGTTGAGAGGTGCGATCGAACCTTATTGGACAAGGTTTGTTCCATGATGAATCGAGCTTCGTTACCTATCTCATTTTAGGGGTATGCCTTAAAGACTATCATCCATATCCTTAATCTAGTCCCAACTAAGAAGGTTGCCAAAACACCTCACTAGATGTGGACAGGGAAGGTTCCCTCGTTAGCACACATCAAGGTTTAGGGTTGATAGGCTTTCATGAGACGTGAGACTCATGATAAGCTTGAACCTGGTAGTGAGTGTTGTATTTTTATCGGCTACCCACATAATCCCTTTGGATATCTCTTCTATAGACCGAGTGACAATGTTGTATTCGTTGCGCGGAGAGAAGTTTTTCGTGAGAGAGAACTCATATGCCAAGAGGACAGTGGGAGGCAAATTGACCTTGAAGAGGTTCAAGAGTTAAGTGATGAAGGAAACACAAACACTATCGATCAACCTGAGGATGAAACTCCTGTTGAACCGATTGACGAGTTTGTACCTCTGAGGCGCTCTAGTAGAGTTAGTGTTCCACCTATGTTATATGGTTTCCATATAACATATGAGGGTGGCACATTTATCAGTGATAGCGTACTGATAAATTTGGATGAACCTAGCAGCTACAAGGAAGCCATGGCAGGCCCCAAATCTGCTAAATGGAAAGTGGCTATGGACAGCGAGATTCATTCCATGTATGACAATCAAGTTTGGAACTTCGTTGACAATGTATCGGATCATAAGACAGTTAGGTGCAAATGGATCTTCAAGAAGAAGACCGACATGGATGAGAAAATACACACATATAAGGCGCATCTGGTTGCAAGGGGTTTTACTCAAACTCATGGAGTTGATTATGATAAGACCTTCTCACCAGTAGCGAAGATTAAATCTATAAGGGTTATGCTAGCCATAACTGCATTTCATGACTATGAAATATGGCAAATTGATGTCAAAACCGATTTCCTTAATGGAAAGTTGGCTGAAGATGTTTACATGAGTTAGCCAGAGGGTTTTGTCAATACAAAGTACCCTAATAGAGTGTGTAAGCTTGAGAAATCCATTTATGGATTGAGTTAGCCAGAGGGTTTTGGAAGTGTTTCACTATGAAGGACCTTGGAAAAGCTGCTTACATCTTTGGGATAAGGATATTGAGAAACAGTAGTAAAAGACTAATTGGCCTTAGTTAGAGTACCTACTTGGACAAGGAGTTGAAAAGGTTCAACATGGAAAATTACAATCAATGTAACTTACCCATCCAAAGCAATACCAAACGGAGCAAGACTTAGAGTCCAAGTACAAAGGTTGAGACAACAGAGATGAGTTGAGTACCATATGCTTCCGTAGTTGACTCGATCATGTATGCTATGACTTATACCCACCTTATTGTAGCCTTTGCTTTGAGCATGGTGAACAGATATCAAGGGAATCCTAGTAAAGCTCACTAGACTGCAGTTAAGAACATTCTCAAGTACCTACAGAGGACTAAGGACTGGGTCCTTACCCTCGGTGGGAGTGATGACTTAAGAGTGACAATGTATTGTGACGCCAGCTTTCAGACTGATAGAGATAATTTTTTTCTCTCAGTCGGGTTGGGTTTTTACCCCGAATAGAGGAGCAATAACTTGGAAAAGTTCCAAACAGGAGTATGTATTTGAGTCAACGTGTGAATCAGAGTACATAGCAGTAAGAGAAGCGTCGAAGGAGGCGATGTGGCTGAAGAACTTCATCGGAGACCTTAGAGTTGTACCAGCTATAAATGATCCTATGGAGATTTTCTATGACAATGAGGGTGCGATCGCCTTAACCAAGGAACCAAGGGGATCGTGGCAGATCCTGGCACATCAACAGAAAATATCACTTCATAAGACATTGTGTGGAAGAAGGAATCCTCGTGGTAAAGAGGGTATCATCAGATGAGAACCCAACAGATCCCTTCACGAAGGGACTGAGTAGGGTTAAGCATTTGCAACATGCAAGGAGCATTGGGTTGAAGGACGATATTAGTTTTAATGATTAGATAACTATTTAGAAACATATAATAGATAAAAATGTAATTGACAATTGGTGATTAAATAAAGGGTGTATTTATTTATGAGTAAAGTTACTATCTTGTGTCGGTTGTTTACTATTGTTTCATTTTTCATGTTTTGACTTCCAAAATAATAAGATTATTCAAACTATCCACAGTCGATCACACTTGGGAAGTAGGTATTGAGGCAAGACTGTCATGAATTTGGCTTGTAGATTGTCTGAAGTGTTTAGACATAGTAAAAGATTACTATAACATCCATGAGTGCTCATAAGGTCTGAGTATTGGATTAAACCCACACTCACTTGAATAACTTCATGAAATTTATCACGAGGGATTGTGAGACGATAATATCATAGAAGTCTTCAAACCGAGATAGATGAGTTGTT